GGATGGTCTCAAAGGGCTGCTGATTCTCTCCATAGAAAGAAGCTTATCAAAAACCCGTATCACCCCCATTTCTTCAGCTGGCTGGGGCAAGAAAACAAAGTAGACACTAGACAAGAATCAAAAGATCCGGAAATTAAAATCAACCTACTCTATACCCATTTGTTGGATTTGGATTATCTCAAGGGTCCATATTTCAAAGTGGATTTAATTGCATACGTACAGAAAATCTCGAGGTAAGTTCGGATCTGCAATTCCCGTATGATCCTACCCGAATGTGCAAATGAAGTAAATACGGATTCAACATGCTAAATCTAGATCCATATCGAAAATGGGGAGATAAATACGTGTGTGAGTTTAATCCTGCACTGCTGGACACATCTCTCTGACCCATTTTTTTGCGTTCACATGGGAACCCCAAGTCAATTAATCAAATTCCATTAAAAACTGATTTCCAAATGCCAATTCCATTCCAAGCAGAGTGATCCGATGACCAAAGACTCCAAAGTCCAAACAGTACTGCAATAAAAATCTAATGTCCAAATGACAATTCCAGGTCTTTAATTGGGAGTTTAGATTTGCGCCCCACAATGTTGCACAGCATATCTCCGTACATCTCTCGATGATAGTATCAGAAACGATAATGTTATTATGGGGGAGATGTTCTCAATACACAATGAGAATGTGCTATGGAACATTGTGGGGCATTTCCTTGTGAGGCGCAGATTCGAACTCTCTAATTGGTTGCATCAGAGACCTGGGATCAAATCCCGTAGACAGTAGGGTTGAGGTAAAGGGGATGGGGGATGGGTATGGCCGTCAATGCATTGGGTCCGACCCGATGGACCAGAACCGGTTGGATCGGCTTTGGGTCCTGATTACTATCGGGTCTGTTGGGTCAGACCTGATTGTTCTGGGAACCAATCGGTTCAGTTCCGGGTCGACTAATTATAGACTTTATCATGTCTGGGTCCGAGTCCGAGTACTCAACCTTTTTATGTTGGCTCGATTTCTGTTTCACCTGGTTCCGACTCAGACCCAACCCATAGGATGGATTTGCGCTGTATTGCCCTTTCAAGCAAAAAAAGAAGAAGAAATAAATAAATAAACCTAATGCCATAAAAATGGTCTGCAAAGTCCAATTCCACGAGCACAGTAATCAATAAACTGAAGAGTAGGGGTTTAATCGAGATTCAATGAATCAAAGCCGAGTTTTGGGTGACTTGAACTCCAGCTTGACTCAAAAAATTCAGAGCTCGAAACTCAATTTGAGCTCGACCGAGTTTTTGAGTTTCATATTAGAATTCGACTCGAGTCGATATCCATGAAATACCCGTTCTCGAGTAGGCTCAAGTCGATTATAAATAAATTGTATATTAAAAATTATAAACAAATTAATATTTAAAATATTATAAATAAAATATATCATTATATATTAAAATTATAAATAAATCCATACTATAAAATATTATAAAAAAATTATAAAATTTGGTTATAAATTTATTTGTTTATATTATAAATAAATTGCTATCAAAAAATTAATATTTATTTATATTATAAATAAAATATTTAAAAATAATATATTAGAAACTTAATTAGGCTTGCAAGCTATTCGAGCCTAATATTACAAAGCTCAAACTCAATAACTCGGCTTGACCAATTAACTACTCGATTCAAGTCAAGTTCGACTCTAATCAATAATTTCTGGGCTGAATTCGAGTATTTAGAGAACTGAAACCAAGTAATTCTTGAGTTGGCTCAGTTAGCTTACACCTAGGGAAGACTTTTTTTTTTTTTAAATGACACCCTCCTCAATATTAAAGTTAGAGGTGTAAACGGATCGAATTCAAACCGGATCATGCAATATCCGTATTTAAATTCGATTAAAAAAATCGATATTCGAATTTAATTTTGATTAAATATTCGAATATTTGATTCAATTCAAGATTTTAAATTCAACCAGTTAATTGCTTTAGGTAATTAATAAATGTATAGAATAAATTTTTGTTTATATAAAATATATAAATCATTTATATAATATAAATATTATATATAAATTATATAAAATGTTTAAATATTATATATAAGAATTAAATAATCGATTCGAATATTTATCGAGTCAAGTCAGGTCATATTTGAATTTGATTTGATTATTTAAAACGGTATAAATAAATAAGATATCCAAATTCGATCGATTGTCGTATTCAAATTATCTTAATTCAATACAACTATATTGGATCTTAAATTCGAAATCAACTTTCTGAATTGTTAGGGTTCGATCATCATCATTCATCAATGAAGTGGAGGAATTTGAAAAGTAGAATTGGGACCATTTCCTTCATTAGGTATTGGTTTTGTCATTGCTCTAATTGTTGATACACCCAAACTACCCATCAACACCTTTACCAAAAAAAAGGGAAATTGTCCAAAACCCACTATCACTTTTTATGAATTCACTTAAATTCACCACAACTTTTCAAACGTCAAGGGAACCCCATGTTAGTGAGTTTTATTTTCAAAAACTCACATTCTGTTAGTGCACTGTTAATGTTTCTTAACATAAATGGCCATGTCAGCATAAATAACATTTTTCATGACCAAATTACCCTTGAATGGTGAGTTAGGGGAAAATGGTCATTTAGGTTAGGTTAGACCGAAACTCTCTCTCTCTCTCTCTCTCTCTCTGCCTCTCTCACTTAGATCTGGCCACCGCACCACCTTCTCTCACTCAGATCTTGAAGGTAGTTACTGCATCACCCTCTTTCTTGCTTATATCTTGCCACCACCATAGTACCTTCTCTCTCATTCTTGAAGGTAGTTGCACCACCCTCTCTCTTGCTCAGATCTTGACGCCACACCATCCTCTTCAGATATTGTCACTGCACCACCTTCTCTCTTGCTTAGATCTTGCTGCCGCACCACCATCTCTCTCGCTTAGATCTTGAAGGTAGTCGCCACGCCACCCTCTCTCTTGCTTAGATCTTGCTACCGTCATAGCACCCTCTCTCTCTCTCTCTCTCTCTCTTGTTCAAATCTTGAAGATAGCCACTGTACCACCCTCTCTCTCTCGTTCGAAGGTCGTTGCTGCACACATCTATTGTTTGAAGATCTACTGGTTTGAAGATTTGAAAGAAGACAATCATAAATTTCAAAGATTTTTTATGTTTTGAAACATTTGCAATGTATTCTTTTGAATATGGAATGTAAATCCCATCGAGGGTTCTACAAATTTATGCAAAAAAATATTTTTGTAATTGTTTATCTGATTGTTTGAAATATTTTTTGAAATTTTATTGCAACAATCTTTGGATTTAATGTCTAATTTTTGTTTATTTTTTGAAAAATTTTATCTAGTTTATTTGTAATTTTTTATTTTTTCTAAAATATATAATTAAAAAATCTTTTTTTGTTGCTTTTTTAGTTGATATTTTTAAACTTTTATCATTTTATGTATTTTTGTGTAGATTTTTATTATCTTTTTGAAAATTTTGTCACTTTCTTGTGTGCTTTTTTTTTTAATTTTTAACTTTTTTCTATAATGTATAATTTTTTAATTTTTATCATTTTATGTATATTTGCAATTTCTGTTTTTATCCAATCTTTATATTTTTCGAGTTTCTTTTGTCTTTTTCAGTTTTCAACTTTCTTTTTTTTGCATTTCTAGTGTTTTGTTATAATTTCCATTTTTTCTAATATATGTTTTTGTACATTTTTCTATTTTCTACAATCTATAAAATTTTCTATATTTTTTGTTATTTATTTGCAATTTCTGTGTTTTTCTACAATTTTTATTTTCTGATTTTGTTTTCAATTTTTATAGTTTTTTTGTAATTTCTGTTTTTTTATGTATTTTATGTTTGAAAATATTTTTTGAACATTTTCTTTTTTTCATGGTTTTGTAATTAAAATATTAAAATATATAAGTATATATTTTATATTTTTGTATGAAAGGTAAAATGGTAATGTATTAACTCTCATTAGTATATTTAACATCAAGTTAATAACATGATAAATTTTAGACGTTTAAAAAATTATAATAAATTTAAGAAAATTCATAAAAAGTGATGATGGGTTTTGGACAATTTAAGAAAACAAAAACTAGCTATCAACACTAACGATGAATGAGAAGAAGACTTAACGTTACGGACACCCGCCGGACTGTTGAAGTAGTTGTGGCAATCAAAGACCTTTGTTATAGAAAGGTACTTACTCACTCCAATGCTCCCACTCATAATATTCTAGATTTGTGGGTGAGTTTTAATTGATCAGAATTCTTTCATAGATTTCCCTGCTTTAAATATACAAGTGGCAAAGCACCTTTGGTGCACCTGGTTTATTAACACTGGACAGGAAAGTGGGGTCCGCTTTCCGTATGTTTTTTTTATCTGCCGATCTGCGTGCGTGGAAGCGGGAATAGGATACTCATATCCCTTACCCTTTATTAGATTTTCATTTTTCAAGGTATATTTACTTTTTATATTTTTTCAAGGAATCGTCATTATTAAAAAATAGTGATTGATTAGGGTACCGGTACCCCCCTGATTTTTGACAATACAATAATGGTACACCTAAGTAGAGCAGCTATCCATATAGGACCGTGCCGGTCTAACCAGATTTCCATGAATGGACTCTTGGGCCGAGGCCCGGCTCCTTGTATTGGCGCTTGGCGGGCGCCGGGCGGATTAGCTTAGCTGATTCGGTGAAGTTGGCAGTTGGGTTGGGTCACTCTCACTCTTACCAGGGGCATGGAGTGTGAATACAACGGGACCCACGTGTTCACATCCCATTGGAAACCCTACGCATTAAATTTTCTTTTTAACCTCTTGCCTTGTTTTTGTAAATCTTATATATATCTTAGTAGGACCAAACGGAAACGGTAGGTCCCACAGGTAGGGTAGAAGTACGTAGAACCGTAGAAGTTACTGAGCCCGAACCACACTGCAGAAGTGCAGATAAATAAATAAACTAAATTCAGATTATTGTCTTATAAACAAATTAAAAGCGTCCCTTTCAAGTTTGGGGTCTATATTTTGGCAAAATACTTTGGGGGTAGCGAGCGAGGATGGACGAATTGTATAAAGGTGACACATAGGGAGCTTTGCATGCTGAACCAAGTGCGAAGCGGCCACGCATATCTGCCCATACCTCCAGTCCATCCTCGTCATCCTTTGCATGCTTCTCAACGTCCTCTCCCACTCCCACCTCCTCCATCATCTCTCTCTTTCTCTCTCCTCTTTATATCTCACCTTATTCCATTTCCCTTTTCTTTCTCCATCACAACAATATTCTTCCTCTTTCTTTTAACCTTCGATGGCCGATCTCGTCTAGACTCTAGAGAGGAGAGATACTTCATACTTTCTTAATTTTCATATTACTCTAAGTTAACAAGGATGTCGAGTCTGTGTGCAGAAAACCACCAGTCGTTCCTTTCCGGGAAGAAAGGTCTCGGAGATATCGACGCGCAATCCGGGAAGCTCCTCAGTCGGCGGGTCAAGCTAACCGTCTCGTCTGACACTAGTCCTGATCTCTTCGGAGATGCTATGGAAAAGCCCAGTTTTGAAGAAACTCATCATCTCGTGCACAAATTCTTGCCTTACAATGGTGGGGACGATGATGATTCCGATCCCTACTCAAATGATGAGTTCCGTATGTACGAATTCAAGGTGCGTCGGTGCATGCGCAGTCGTAGCCATGACTGGACTGATTGCCCCTTTGCTCACCCCGGCGAGAAGGCACGACGCAGGGACCCCCGCCGTTTTCATTACTCCGGTAATGTCTGCACGGATTTCCGTCGCGGTGGGTGCCGCCGCGGCGATGCTTGTGAGTTCGCTCATGGGGTCTTTGAGTGCTGGCTTCACCCGGCCAGGTACAGGACTCAAGCCTGTAAAGATGGTAAGAACTGTAAAAGAAAGGTTTGCTTCTTCGCTCATACATCTCGTCAGCTGCGTGTGTTGCCTCTTCGTTCCGTCGAAACTCAGACGTCCCCCTCTCCCACTGTTACCTCACCTCTGGGCCACGACAAATACCCAATTTCCGTCTTTTCTGATGCCAATTCTAACCACTGTTGCGTTTTCTGTCACTCCGCTGCTTCATCCCCGACTTCTACTTTGAAGGATTTCTCTCATTTATCTCCTCCATTGTCACCGACACTTTCTCCTCCACTCTCCCCTGACGGCAGCCTCGGAAACGAGGGATCGATGCGCGGTTTCTCTCCGCTCTCTCGATATAATGAACATATTGATCCAATTGCTTTGAACCAATTTCTTCTTGGGCCTTTAAATTACAAGGGTGCTCTTTCAGAGCTTGTGAGTTCCATGGAAGCCATGGATCTCAGTTCGACTTCTCCAACCTGTGTAAACAATAGATACCTTTCATCCTCAGCCAACTTCGAGGAGCAGCAACAGTTCGTTCTCTCACCTTCAAACCCACAATCATCTTTTGGGTCAGGAAATTACTTTAACGAAGATTGTCTGAGCAACGGTTTCACAGACGAAAAAACCAACAACAATGGTCGCTGTTATCCCGATCTGGACTGGGTGAACGAGCTGGTGATGTAGATGACGACAGATGATCATCAAGTCATGGTGTACAAAGGGTCGTAAATATATACAGCATATATATATATATATATGCCATTGGTGATCAACTGATCATTGTTTCTGGTATCAATTTTCTTTTGGGGTCAATATGTATCAAGCTCTCGAACTTAACATCTTCGAGTGTCTGTTTGTAATTTTGTTCGTTTGCTTCTCTGGTCGTTTGTCTTTCGCTTTGTTGTTTGGTGGAATAAGCATATCAGCCCCACTGAAGATGTAACCTAGCTACATGTTTAGACTATTGTGCTCTTATGGTGCTTAATATTTGTTTAATGATGCCTCTCAACAAACTTGATACTTGCACTACATGCAATGCATCTTATACGAGTCATGACTTGACACGTGGCAAACATGCAAAGTGGGTGAGAGTCCAATTTGGAATGACAACTCAGACGTAGGACATGCGGGTATAATTACTATTTTGGTCTACTACTCACTTCAGAGTCGTTCCAATTTGCAAATTGGAATTTACAGTTGTGGTCCAGGGTTCCAGTTTCAGAAATGACCTAGCCATGCACATTGTATGATCAGAAGGGCTATTACTGAATGTTGGTCCCGGCTAAGCTATTGGGAGGGATGAATTAGAAGTTAACAGGCCTAAACTTGTTCGTTTTCCAACATTAAAATGATCAGTACTCGATATGTAAAGGACTATTGCTCAATGTTGTATTAGTTTAGGTCCAGCGACTAGGAACTAAAGCTCATGTTCTTGACCCTGCAGGGATTTGAATTCAAGGGTTGGTTGCAGTATTGCAGCTAGGTGACTGATGGGTGATGAGGTAGCTAGGTTGGTAGGTGGATTCTAAGCCAGAGAGTTGATAACTTGGTGGGCCAGTCTCGGTCTCGTAATACAATTATTGGGATGGGTGTGTAGAAAAACTGAAAAAGGAGGGATGGGAGGAGCAGAGGTGGTGTTGGACTGTTGGGGGTGGAGGAAGCAAGGACGATATTGGTGGTGTGTTGGGCACGTAGGGATTATTAAAGGAGATGATGTGGGCTTGTGGATAAGGATGGTGGACTTATTCTCAAGGGGTGTCCCTCTTTTCTCGGGCATTGACTTCAGTGATAAAAACCAAATTAACTTGAAAGCTAACTTTTACAGAATGATCCATCCAGATTTGGGATTCTGGAGACTAAAAAACATTAAACACCGTTTGACCCTTTGAGGGTAGGAGTCCATTACAGATGGAACAGGTCATGTCTGAATTGGTTCAATTCAACATCCTGGTAGTATAGTAGGAGTGTAGTGTAGTATAATCACACATTACACGAGTGAGCGAGATGCCATTGGCAATTTTGACACGAGGAGAGAAAGAGAGAGAGCGGACAATGGCTTGTTTGGAAAGAAAACAAGTTGAATTTTGTGATGTGGCAAACTGCACTTTGAATTCATGTCCCTGAACAGTACAACAGTGATGGGACATGTTTTAATTCGTATTTTGTCCTTAATTTTTGAGGAATGAGGATACCGACGAGTATGTGACGCACTTCTTTGGTGTAGTGTAACTCTTTCTTATAAATAATTTATTTTTAATTTGATCGGATTTGATCAAGCTCGATGAGGGCCCTGTTTGGGATCATGTAGTTGGGGGTGGAGCCCATCATAGAAAGAAGACAAAAAGAAGATAAGGGCGAATAATAAAATGATCCTTAATCAGCTTTGAACCGACAATAGATGAACATAACATCTTTATTTTTACTGCCATTGGAGAAATGAATTTATATGGTCTTAATCCCCTCTCCCCAAAATTAATGCTTATGGAGGAGGGTGATTTGACATGACTTAGCATAATCAACAACTCAGCATGAAAGTCTAGCTGCGACTGAGTAACGAGCTCGTTAAGATCCTCGCAAAACAGTTCGCTACTCACTACAGCGCAAGCTCAAGAACCCCAATATGTTGAAAGGGAATACTCCAAATCAAGTCTATCCCAGCTCGTGAGCTCGGATAACTAGCTCGCTCCAATACTTAGGCAAGGGGACTGCCCCAAAGGCAACTTCAGGCAGAATCACCTCGGAACACCTCCAAGAGCTCGCTACAAGGCAGTTCGCTACTAAGCGACGCAGTGTTTTCAGGAAACTTCTTATCTGACGAGACCATACCCGTTAGACTGCACCACATTTCTTGACTAACGGCGTAGTCCCTGCCAGCCCAGCAAACTGCACCCACGTCTCTTGACAAGTGGTGGCGTGCCTGTCCTTTCCGAGTCGTGTCTCTCATCCGATTGGGTAGTACTCTGCAACGGTTACTTGTGCAGCCCTGGAAAATAATGGCTGCGACAGAAGGCCAGTGGCGGTTACGCCCAATTTGACAAGGACATGTGTATTTAAAGGCCCCAGTGATGAAGGGGCAAGGGATCTGAATTGATCTTGGATTAATCTTGAACTTTAACTGATCTAGTGCGACTTGCACTCTTAGCTCTCTCTGCATTCCTTACAACTCTCTCAAGTGTTCTAACTTAAGCATCAGAGTATTCCCACCAGGCAAGTCCCCCGGGAATCCTTCATCTTCCTCTTCTCAGGTACCGTCCGTCGCCAGTTAGGAGTGCCCGAATTGCGCAACATCATTTGGCGCCGTCTGTGGGAATCGCTTCAAAAAAGCCTTCCTCTAATTTCTGCAACTTTCTCTAAGAACTCAACATTCATGGCTTCCTTTAGCAATGCCGGGCGTGGTGCCGACCAGAACGTTTCTGGGGAACAACCTCAGCTCCCCACTGTCTACAATGGACAGTTCACTGTCCCCCTCTCTGTGGACGGAATTCCCAGCTCGAACGTGCCTCACACGGTGACACCTGTGAACGCTCCACTCCCTTCCACGGTTGGAGCAACCTTCACTGAACCTTCCATTGTTCCCCTAGTGACCAACCAAAACCAGTTGGAAGACCTGGTGCAGTGCATGTGAGCTATGCAAGTTCAAATGCAACAGTTTCAGCAGTTTCAACTCTATCAGCAGCAAGTGTTGCATCAAGTTTCTCAGTACCAGTACTAATAGCAGTTCCCATCACTGCCTCAAGCCTAGCAGCCGCTTCCTCCTCAGCACCCGGCCACAAAGCAAGCCAAGGCCTCCCGTCCGAGCGAACGTCCTCGTCGGGGAGAGGCCTCTCAAACCCAGAATCCTTCCAAGAGCCAAGCCTCGTTTCACGGAAGGAAGGAGAGACCAGTCACCCCCGCCTCGCAACCTGCAGGCAAGTTGGGGGCCTCCCAACTGGTCAAGCCCGCACCACCCCAGTACTCTCACTTTGAGTTCTCGCTTGCAGAAAACCAGTTTGAGGTCCTAGCCGCAGACTACAGGCAGGGCCCTTCGATTCACAGCTATCATCAGCAGTCCGAGCCCATTGAGCTCGGTAATACTGAAGCAAGCAGCACCAACGTCGAGCCGACGTCGCAACAACAGAGGCGCCGACGAGCTCGCCGAACTGCTACCCGCGTCCTTTCAGTTCCTTCCCCTCTGTCGCCAGAACTTCTTGTTGTTCCTATGACAAAGGACTTCAAGCTCCCTCCTCTGGATAAGTATGACGGATCTTTTGATCTGAATGACCGTGTGGATGCCTTTCAGTCCCAGATGCACTTGGCAAGGGCCAGTGAATCCTGTATGTGTGTGGCTTTCTCCACCACCTTCAAAGGAGTGGCCTGCACTTGGTACTGGAACCTCGCGCCCGAATCGATAAGAAGTTGGGCACAGTTCGTGCAAGTCTTCACTTCCCATTTCGTCACCAGCAAGAGGTGCCCAAGAACTCAGGAGAGCCTCCTTGGCATAGTTCGGAAGGAAGGGGAGTCCATTCGGAGTTACATCAAGCGGTTCAATGACGCTTGTTTACAAATACCCGATCTAGACCCCGCAGTTCATCTCACCGCGGCCAAGTGAGGCACTACCCACAAAGAATTCAAGTGGCAGGTGGTTGTTAATCAGCCAAAGACTGTGACCGAATTTCTCAAACTCGCGGATCAATTTATAGGGACAGAGGAGGAGATCAACCAGAAGGGCCTGAGTGCGCCCGAGAAGAGAAAAAGGGAAGGTGAGCCCTTGATTCAAGGGGATGGTAAGAAGATGAAAGACCAAGCTCAAGGGGCAAGGCTGAGTCAGCCTTTCCGAGCCCCAACAGTAGAGAGGACGGACTACACGCCCCTGAACGCGAAGAGGGCCGAGATCCTCATGGCGATCAAGGACGCCTCGTATGTGAAGTGGCCACCTCGGCTAAAGGTAGATCCTAATGTAAGAAATAAAAATTTGTATTGTACTTTCCATAAAGACCACGGTCATAGTACCAAAAATTGTAAAAACCTCCGCGACGAGATAGAAAAGCTCATCCATCGTGGATACTTGAGAAATTTTGTACAAAATAATAATAATAATAAAGCAGGTCGGCAGGGGGAACATAGTAGAGATGCTCCCGAATCCAACAGGCAAGCAGAACAACCGCAGAGGCAGCCCCCTGAAGAGAGACCAGTTCGGGGGACCATCCACGTGATTGTCGAAGGTTCGGTTGTGGCGGGTTGTACCTCAACTGCAGCTCGGACATCAGCTCGCGAGGCCGCCAGGGAAGAACAAAATCCCTCGAAGCGGCCAAGGACGGAAGACCCAATCTTCTTCATAGAGGACGACGCGCACGGGGTCCACTACCCCCATGATGACACACTCATCATAAAGATAAAGATTAATGACTTTGAAGTTAGGCGTGTCTTTGTCGAGTCGGGTAGCTCGGCGGACATCCTTTTCAAAGCGGCATTCAACTAGCTCCAACTCCAAGAAAGCGACCTGAGGCCCGCGAATACTCCCTTGGTAGGCTTCAGCGTAGAGAAAGTCAGGCCCCTAGGAAGGATTACAGTACGTGTGGAAGCTGGCACCTGGCCTAGCATAGTGAGGCTCAACCACAACTTCTTAGTGGTCGCAACCCCCTCCCCGTACAATGCCATAGTAGGTCAGCCAATCACCCATGCCCTACGAGCTATGGTCTCCACTTACTATTTGGCAATGAAGTTCCCCACGGACTTCGGAATCGGGATAGCGCGAGGTGACCAGCTTGAGTCTCGCAAATGCTACGTTGCCGCCCTCAAAGGGAAAGCCAAGGTGGCCGACGACCTCGAGCTAGAGCGACCTACGGAGCAGTAAGAGGAGCGAGTTGCACCTAGAGAAGAGATTGTCTCCATCCCGGCATCGACAGAGGACCTAGCCCAGACACTTCAGATCGATGCTTCCACTCGGGAGCCTCTGCGATCTCAACTGGTACGCTTCCTACTTGAAAATTTAGATGTTTTCGCGTGTTTTGCGGCAG